ATTATTTTTATCCTTATCCTTCGCCCATTCGTACCACCTCTCCCATGTTGCATAGTATTCTCGATCCTCTTTGCCTTTCAGTTCCATAGTGAATTTATCTAGTTCAGCACAGTCCATTATTTTTTGAATCAAAACTTCATCTGTTGGTATTTTATCACTCTTCCAATTTTGTGCTAACGTGATTCTTGCTGCAGTTAAGATGTGTACAATAAGGTATCTTTTATCTTTACTCAAATTCCCTTTGATCATACCCAATAAAAATGTTTTGGGTTCCAATTTCAATTTATATTTTGTAATCTCAAAAAGCCATCTCTGTATTTTCTTCCAGTATTTTTTGACCTCTATACGTTGCTACCACATATGGAAAAACGTTCCTTTCTTTTGCTTGCACTTCCAGCATTCTGATTTCAAGGTTGGATACATTTTTGCCAGTCATGCCGGCGCTAAGTGCCATCTACAAAACATTTTATATTGATTTTGTTTGAATGCTGTCGACAAAGTCAGCTTCCAGTTCTCGGTCCAAGTCTTTTCCCACTCATCCAAATTTATATTATGACCCACATTTCTCGCCTACGCAATCATTGGTCCCTTAACAATTTCCTCCTCTAGCTCTACCTCCAGTAAATAATTATATGTTCGTGTTATAAATTTTATATCCTTGCCTGTCAAGATTTGCTCCAATTTTTGTAAATCTTTATCCCTAGCTCCTTTACATCTTTCTTAAATTTAGTTTGAATTTGCAAATATAGCCACCAGTCTAATATTATCCCTTGTTCTTTTAGTTTATCCAGTGTTTTTAATTCCCCCTGTTCATCTACCAATTCTTTATATCTAATCATTTTTTTAGTGTCCCTTGTATTTGGATATAGTATAGCTTCCATAGGTGAGATCCAGTTTGGTCTTTTCAAATAATGCTTTTTTAAATTTTCTCCCATGTTTGTAAAAGTGAATCCCTTATCAAATGTCTATGGAAATAGGAGTGGATCTTATTCTTTTTATCCCATAGAAAGGCATGCCACCCAACTTGGAGGTCCTGACCTTCTGTCGCCAAAATTCTTTTATCTTTTAAAAGCATTTTTATTTCTAATGTTTCTCTTATTACCAGGTCAGTGCATAGTATACATTTATTGTAGGAAAAGGAAACTATTTAGTTCATTTTAAAATATATCATCTTGTTACATGGGTCAACTCATAAAACATTCCTATGCCTATTTTAGTAGTTGCCATAAAAAGGGAGGAAGGATATCTGGAAGAGCAATGCAGCATTTTGGAAGCGAAAGTACATTCCAACTCTTATCTTTAAAAGATTGTAACTAAAATACCAGAGCTTTTGGCTGGGAATATATTTAATTGGAGAATGTGAATCGTGACACCCAGCCTGTGAATGTGCTCAACTGGAGAATCTGGTTTATGAGACACCCAGGGGGGAGGGGGGAAACAGGCTCACAGGTTACTGTAAATTACGTATGCCAGAATTGGCTTCATTCAGGGCAGTGCCAGTATGTCGCCTCTAATGAATCCTTTGAAGTTTTTTGAAGTTTGGCTCAAGAATCATGATTTAATTAGAGCGATTGCCGGAATCCTGACAACACACATATTCTCTCTACCCTTCAATTCCAATTATAAAGTCTTAAAATATGTAATAATTCGATTATACGCCAATTCCTTACACACCAAAATGTGTATTTTCAAATTATTAAAGCAGCCATGTCTTTCTCCCATGGCTGTTTTAGACATCTGTTTTTCACTTTCGCATGTAAAACTATTTCACTCTCTATGTATCAGATCACCTCTTTCCATTTAGTTCAATACCTATAGTATTTTGCCTAAAGAGGAAATTAATGATGAAAAAGATAGCTGGGTAAAGAATCAGTTTCAGTAACAGTAGATGCTGGTAAAGCCATATCCCAAAAGGGGATGGATGGATGGATGGATGGATGGATGGATGGATGGATTCATTCATTCATTCATTCATTCATTCGAGAATGTGACATTAACACAAGCTAGGCTGCTTGTTGCCAAGCTCTTCCTAATATCTTAAACCTTTTCATTTGTTCAAGCACACTCTTCCTTGGAGCTAATACTACCTACTACTTGAAGAGGTGTGAACTTCACATCCCTGGGGAATTCTGGGAGTTGAAATCTACACATCTTTAAGTTGCCAAGGTTGAGAAACACTGCACCTTGATAAACTATGGTTTCAGTTCACAACATAAATCCCATTACAGTTTAACCCATAGTATGTGTACATACTTTTTGCTGCCTTAAAAGTTGTCAACAAAACCATGGAAATCACATAAGACCTCCCGGTTTCCTTGTTCCCTCAGTTGATTGAAACTCGATGGTCTACAGACCTAAACGTTCATTCCCCATTTGCTGCAGATAAATTTTTAGAGACTAAAAATTGGATAAATCCTCCCTCCCACCATCTGCTCATTCTGGCAGAAATGACATCCACAGACGCTGCAGCTGGTTGCCAAGGACACCCCGCTTGCATTTCTGTGGCTTCCCAGCCAAAATATTCCAAATGACATCTTGTTGCAGCAACATGTTTTCTATTCTGAATTTAAAAAACCAACAACATTTCAAAGGAAGGAAATGGATTCATGACAGGAAGTGCATGATTGATTCAGGGTGGCATTTTTTATTTAAGGATACAGTAGCTTGTTCAGGAATACAATTCTATAACTGTGGTTATGGAATCAATATTATATATATACGGTATATAGAATTAGTATAATTAATGTTATATAAAGGCCCAAGTACAGATTAGGCAAAACCTGGCTCAAAAACTAACTTTGAGAGGGACCTTGGAGTCTATTGGACAATCACTTAAATATGAGCCAGCAGTGACATAGAATCAAACTCACATTAAGTATTAGTACTGCTTTATAAAGCCTTAGTAAGGCCACACCTGGAATACTGCATCCAGTTTTGGCCACCACATTACAAAAAAGATGTTGAGACTTTGGAAAAAGTGTCAAGAAGAGCAACTAAGATGATCAAAGGTCTGGAGACTAAAACATACGGTTGCAGGATTTGGGTTTGGCTAGTCTAGAGAAAAGAAGGTCTAGGGATGACAATGATAGCAGTATTCCAGTATTCGAGAGGTTGCCACAAAGAAGAAGGGGTCAACTTGTTTACCAAAGCACCAAAGTCCATACCTCTTCGACTGGCCAAGAAACAACTGGTATGTGGAATCTAGAACGCTAAACGCATAAACGCCTAGAACAACAAGTTTTAGATGTAGCGTTCTTTACAAATTCAGCCTGCAATTCTTGGCGTGTGATTCGGATTCAATTTGTAATACATATTTAATTTACAATTCTTGCTGTACATTTTAAACTAAACTCTTTGAAGCTTTTTTTTGTTTGCCTGAGGTTGTATTTCTTGGTATCATGAAGCAAAGAGGAGACTTAAAAGATGCTGGATGTTAATAACCAGCACGTTCCAATCACAAAGCTTTTTGTTTCTCCCCAGAAATGTAGAACCCATTTTATTGTAAAAATTGTTCATCCTCCATTTCAGGGATTGGCAGCCTATTTGCTCACAAATTAATTTTGCAAGGTGGTTTTGTGAACAAGTTTAAGGCTGTAAAATTAAGATTTGGGGGTTGAAGTCTAAAAGCAGTGTTTCTTAACCTTGGCTGCTTTGAGATATGTGGACTTCAACTCCCTTGTAAGAGTGAAAAAAATGGTCACGTCACTTTTTTCAGCCTAACTTTAAACGGTCACAAAACAAATGGCTGTAAGTCAAGGACTACCTATATGCTAATTTTATTTGTAGCTCTCCTGTGGATATACCCAAGCTTTGGGCAGCCACATGTAGCCTTGCAGCCTTAGCTGATACAACTTCCTTGTACAATATAGGAGATGTAGAAAGTGCAGTGGATATGTTATTTAAATTAGCTTTTAGAATTCTTTGATATACCTTGACAAAAGCTCTTTGACTCTTCCATATCAGTGGCTGATGGTGATGTTTGCATTAGCATTAAACTGCTTGTGGCAGGATGCATTAGAGTGTTAAAGAAAAGTTACTCATTAACCATCTAGCAATTCTGGATGGGTTGTGAGGATGACTTTCTGCATACATGTTTTATTTCATTTATTTTATTTGTCAATTGCTTACAACATGATAGGTATAAGTATAAACATGAGTAAGAATGCAGGAAATAGGTACAAATAAATGGGGACAATAGGGCAGGGATGGTAGGCACGCTTGTGCGCTTATGCACGCCCCTTACAGACCTCTTAGGAATGGGGTGAGGTCAATCGTGGATAGTTTGAGGTTAAAGGAGTAGGGGTTAGAGGATGTAACAACAGAGTCAGGTAGTGCATTCCAAACATTGACCACTCTGTTGCTGAAGTCGTACTTTCTGCAATCAAGTTTGGAGAGGTTTACATTGAGTTTGTATCTGTTATGTGCTCTTGTATTGTTACGGTTGAAGCTGAAATAGTCATTGACTGGTAGGATATTGTAGCAGATAATTTTGTGTACTGCGCTTAAGTCCAACCGTAGGCGGCGTAGTTCAAGGTTGTCCAAGCCCAAAATCTCAAGCCTGGTGACGTAGGGTATTCTGTTGCGAGCAGAGGAGTGTAGTACTCGTGAAATACTTCTGGACTCGCTCAATTGTATTAATGTCTGGCGGATTCCAGACAGATGAGCTATATTCAAGTATTGGTCTAGCAAAGGTTTTGTATGCCCTAGTTAGCAATTCTGTATTTCTGGAGGAGAAGCTTTGTAAGATTTATTTACAACTCTTAATGCCTTTTTGGCAATGCTGTTACAGTGAGCTCTGGCGCTTAGGTCATTTGATATGAGAACTCTGAGGTCCTTGACAGAGTAAGGGTCGTCAATGAGGTCGTATCCGCATAGCTTGTATTTGGTGTTCTGATTTTTTTTACCAATGTGTAGGACGGAGCATTTGTTGGTTGAAAGCTTGACCTTGCTGCTTGATTAACTTCATAATACCCATCTTATAGTTATGTTCTCTTCTACAGGAAGACTGAAATTCACCAAGCAAGACAATCAATCTGAAATTCAGAAGGTAAGAAGGATTATTTTTGGGGGGTATATGAAAGGTTTTATGATCTTCAAATAGGATGTTTGTATAAGAAACACCTGTACGTTGAAGCACAGTAATAAAATAACGTGTTGAAGGTGAAATGAAACATTTGCTTTTGGCTTTTTGTGGGCTTTCCGAATTTATTTTTCCTTTTGTGTTCTGAGGGTCACCTTTTTGGTCTTATCGTACTTTACAGAAAGCAAATAAGTGAATTTCTCATTCATATTCTCCCAAACAATTATGTTAATTTAATCTGCTGGAATAGTATTAAGTTTAACCTTGTGCTTCAAGAGACATGCCAGAGTGTTGCTGTTTGTACACCCTTACAATTCATTTGGGTCTCAAAGTGGTTTAAATTTCTCCCTCGTTATCCCAGATACATTTTTTTTCTAACTTCAAATATTTGCTTCCTTTGTACTCCATCCAAAACATGATGAGAAAAATACAGCAACTCTAGCTTATCTCTGGGTCGTGTTTAAAAGAGGAAGCAAAACTTTATTCCCTCGGCTTTATTACTGCCCAGAAACTCATATTGGTTCTTTGCTTTCCTTTACATGAAAAAGAATGTGAGGATTACATAGAGCAGGGTGTCAAACTTGATTTCATTGAGGGCCGCATCAGGGTTGTGTTTGACCTCGGTGGGGCAGGATGGGCATGGCCAACTCTATGTCATTCATGTTGGGGGCGCCTGTGATGGCTCGAGCACTCTGCCAGCAAAATCCCGAGCTCCGTTTTCAGCTGCGACAACCTCCTGCAATCCTCTGTCACCAAAAATGGAGCTCGGGAGGGCAGCCAGCAGCTCTTGCAAGCTCTGTTTTCAGCTGCAGCAGCCCTCCCAAGCTCTTGTTTTCACTGGCAGCAGCACCGCAGGCTGGTCCTTTGCTGTTTCCAGGGTGGCCTTGCGGGCCAGATCTAAGCACCCCATGGGCCAGATCTGCCCCCCGGGCCTTGAGTTTGACACACTGACATAGACTATAACTTTATGGCACAATTTGTAAAGGTAAAGGTTACCCCTATCCAGTCATATCCGCTCTGGGGGAAGGACAGTGCTTATTTCCATTTCCTAGCTGAGGGACCAGCATTGTCCAAAGACATTTCCGTGGTCATGTGGCCAGCATAACTATATGCCAAGGCTCACGGAATGCTGTTATCTTTCCACCAAAGTGGTACCTATTTATCTACTTGCTTTCGAACTGCTAGTGTGATGACCCAAGGTGTGGCACAAAAATAACAAAGTCACAAAAATTGATAAATTCTCTTTAATAACTCCAACTTGGCCCCCAATGTCCAATTATCCTCGGCTGGAGATCAAACTCTTCCAAAAACAGCCTATGAAGGGAAGAAATGCAGTCCGAACCCAAAGTACAGATAAATTAGAAATCAAAAAACCAACACAAACCACACTGAAGTAATTAACTCGACAGGCCAGGATAATAAATTGCAGACTTCCAAAAGATAACAATGCACACACAATTGGGAGGACGCCAAAACCTAGATAAGTCTCAACAAGGTGCTGTGTGCAAATGCCCTACTTATATGCTGTTCTCCCAGCTGCAGCTAATGAAAGGGATCAGGGCCCTTTTCTCTCCTGTAAACCATGTTGCTCCGTTCTCCGTTCCTCCCTGCGTGCCCTAGGATGAAGAGGGGGCCCTCGGTCTTCCTCTGAATGCCCAGTCGGACTGTGCCCTTCCCCCGTGTCTTCCACAGCCACTGGAGCCACACTCCCACTCCCTGTCAGCTGCTCAAACTCCCCCTCAGAATCAGACTCCAACAAGGGCATGACAGCTAGATGGGTAGGAACTAGGAAAGGAACATGGGTCACCCCGTTGTACTTGGGTCTCAAACTGCCAACTGTTCAATCAATCTCAGTGGTAGACCAAGGTGGCCCCATATGGCATAATGCCATTGGACTAGAACAGGGGTCTCCATTCTGTGGGCTGTGGCCACTACCAGGCCACAGGCTAGTTGCCACTGGGCCGCATGAGTGGCTGGCCGGTGTGCGCACCTCTGCATGCGCATGCAGCCCCGTTCACGTGAGCCTCATCCTGGACACTTTCAGCCCCGCTCACACAAGCGTCACCACAAAAATCGCAGGTACGTACGCATGCACACATGCGCTCGCCCTTCCCACAAAACCATTCCTTCTTTTCCCCCTTCTCCCGTTCTGGATTGCAACTGGGAAAGGTTGGGGAACTCCCTCTAAATCTATGTTTAGTGGAAAGCTGGGCACCTTGTGCCTTTTTTGTTTGTTTGTTTCCCTTTCCAAGAGAATTTGTGCTAGCGAACTCTGAGGACCAATAAGCCTCTATTAAATACTGTATTTATTGAACATCACAATATTGAATCTTCCTCCTTGGATGATCTCAACTAGACATTGAGATTAAAACCTGTGTGTTTGCTTGCTTCTATGATTTGGCAACCATGCTCTTAGAGTTGACATTATGTTAAATACACAAGTGTTTTAGAATTGTAATACATGCGTTTGGTTTGGATATAAAATCCATATGATAACGTTCTAGGAATTCTTGAGAGGGGATTGCATTTCCATCAGTGTCATGCTTTTAGAAACTTCAGAGCTTTTAAAGAATAATTCAAGAAACGTCTCTAAGTCTGCCAGAGAATGCTAGCTAACCCAGTTAAGTGCTTGCATATCCCAGAGGTAGATTCTTGGCCAATGGGTAGAGATTAATTGTACAATCTCTATTTCTTTTTTTTTATACACACACATTCTAAATTTCAATTAAATATGACAAGCTTTTGTCCTCTTTTATACTAGAACAGTGGTGGCTAACTTTTTTGGGCTCTTGTGCCAAAAATTGTGTGCATGCTTGTGTGCGCTCGCTCACATGCCAGCACCCAGAAAGCAATATGTGCACCCCCACTCCCTGCACATGCACGTGCAATCCTCCCGCCCCCTTACCTGCACTGTGCCTCCCAGCTGATTTTAGGCCCATTTGAGGCCTTTTTTGGCCTCCCAGAGGCTTGAGGACAGCCTTTGCAGGCTGAAAAACGGGCCTGTTTCATCACTTCCGGTATTTCTGGAAATACAGGAAGTGATGAAACAGGCCTATTTTTCGGCCTGCAAAGGCTTTCCTCAACCCTCTGGGAGGCCAAAAAAGGCCTCAAACAGGCCGAAAATCAGCTGTGAGGCGCATGCATGTGCAGTGAGGTAAGTTTGCCTGCTGTTCGCATGCTGGCAACAAATGGCTCTGCGTGCCTCCTGTGGCGCCCGTGCCATAGGTTTGACATCATGGTACTAGAGCATTCATAAATGACAACTAAGAATCTCTGTTGTGAATAGAATAGGGAGGTTTTATTAGTGAGAAGGCAGCACATTCGACTCTGCCAATAGGTGCTAATTTCATTTGGCATGAACCATCTCTGAATAATTATTATTTTTACATATGCATTGTTTTGTTCATTAACAGTGCAGTCCTGTTTCTACCTACCCAGAAATATACCTGTATTCAATTTATAATCAAGTATTGCTGAATTCCAAGATCTTAAACATTAACAACTAGCTATTAACTTTCACCCCATGCCTGTACATTTTATTTTTGACTTTTATTTTTCTTTCTTTCTTTCTTTCTTTCTTTCTTTCTTTCTTTCTTTCTTTCTTTCTTTCTTTCTTTCTTTCTTTCTTTCTTTCTTTCTTTCTTTCCTTCCTTCCTTCCTTCCTTCCTTCCTTCCTTCCTTCCTTCCTTCCTTCCTTCCTTCCTTCCTTCCTTCCTTCCTTCCTTCCTTCCTTCCTTCCTTCCTTCCTTCCTTTTGA